TTTTTTGCTAAGTGTCCAATTAAGACTTTAAAAAATTCCCTTATGCACACATCTTGATCATTTTTTATTTCTGTGCTTTTGCTTATGTAATTTTTTTGTCAGATAACCTCTCTCACTCATATTTTCAATTCAATCAACTCAAGATCCTAACTACTATTAAGCACTTAATGTTTGCCTCCTCTAAGAAATTTGCCTGAACTATTTCTGCCTCCCATCCTATTTACTGAACTTTTAGGTAGACAGCAACTTAAATACACACACACACACACACACACGCGCGCGCGCACACATTAAGTAACCATTTTTTCACTTTTAATTACTCTTCAGATTCTAGTGATTTCATCTTCTATTTACTAAAAAAAATATCTGTTCATATTACTTTTAATACAGTAAGTTCACATATGAAAGATTCTAAGTTGAATCCTTGTTGAGAAGTTAATGAGCAAATTACCCAGGCTTCAAAAATGACAAAATGATTTTGTGTGTGTTCCCTTCTCCTGTTCAGTGATGTAAATAGTTTACAATAGTGAATAAGAATAAAGAACTAGTCTTTTTGTTTTTATTTTTAACTTAGTTTTCAGGTTTCCTTTATTCAAATGCATTATTTCCACATTGGGAGAGGTATGAAAACTAATTTCTCTTAGGTAGTTTGGAACGAAATATAAATGCCTTAAAAATACATTAAACAGCACAGACTAATTTCAAGCTGGAATATAGGCTAACTATGGAACAACTCAAGCCTAGTAAATAATCATTATTTGATTTCATAGAGATTAGGCTTCACTTGCAATTTGTATGGTCTTACAATCCCCCTACAAAGCAGCAAATTAACTTTTCAACTTAACAGGAAACACACACTTTATGTTTCCCCTTTACCTGCTTAAGTGATTTATTCTGACCAGTATGTACAGTTTTGTCATTTCTTAATATAAAGATTCTTTAATGAACAGACATGTCACTTTGTGGCAAGGATTGCTTAAAGTCACAGTGTGCTAATGAACTGCCTCACTGCATCACATGATCGTGACTATATAGCTGAGAACTGTAAACTCAACTCAATGTACCGGTAAGTGACTGTACCTGCCAGTACCAGCAGCAAGGTGATTCCCGCATTAATGAGTTGAAATATTTAGAAATGGAAGAGTGCTTAGCAGTCCCCTACTGTGCCCTGTGAGGGAGCCTGCTGGGGACACTGAGCCTCAAAAGGAGAAGGCAAAGTCCAAGCCCCAGATCAAGTTGAATTTCACTCCATTCCCACAGGAAAAAGCTTTGAATTACAAAATGAGAGTCATGAACATGTATGTGCTTGTCATGGTGCACTCTTCACTCTTTCTAGGGCACACTAAATAACTTTTCCCATGTCAGTCCAAATTAACGCCATTACTCTCATTTGAAATTTTTCATTGGCAGTAGTAAACACTGCAAGGTAGCTGAAGATGTAACACAAAAGATGTGATGAGTTGTAGTTTTAAATAAGCTCAGAGACATTAGCTAAGTAGAATTTAATTTAATCCATGGAAAATAGAGCAACCTAAACAGCATTCCCCAGTGACTTGTTCAGTCATTCACTCAGTTTTCAATAAAAATTTATCCTAATGCTTTGCACATTGGTTTTTTAAAATCTGTAACTTGGAAAAAGTGAATTCTGATCCAGCAATACTGCCCCTTCCCAGGCATTATCATTACCTCAAATAGGTTCATATAATTTAGTAAATTATTGTTCCTAAAATGGAGGTGAAAATAAAATGGAAGAGAAAATCAGGGCAAAGTTAAAAGAAAAGCTGAGGTTAAAAAAAATAATAAATTAAAGATGAATTTAGCACAGAAAATGGATACCGTGCGGCTGTAACAGGTAGGCCATAAATGTGAAAAAACAGAGCAAAAATGGGGATAAAATAACAAGATTCATAACGTCCCCAGATGAGACTACAATCTTGAGTTGACGACCACAACAATACATTGCATAAATAACCAATTATACTAAAGATTACAGATATGAAAGATTATTTATTTCCCAAAAGGAACACTTTACCCAAGCAGCAATCATAGATTGATCTCAGGATCAACCCACTTAGTGTATATCACAATCTAGATCTACATCATGTATAACTATAAATTAGTGAGACTAGTTAAAAATAACAGGCCACGATGCATGCATTCAAATGACAAATGGTGTTTTATGAGAATGACTTTGCTTATCTGCTAGTTTATAGCTTCTATTAAAAGATTTTTTGAACTTCTTTATTTATCATTAACACATTCAATGGATTTCACTTTATGCCAGGTACTCTGTTAGATGTTGGGTACAGGGCATTTATCAAGAAAGACAGTATTTGCCCTCAAAGAAATTAGAGAGCAGTGGAGAAGAAAGGTATTACCTGATTAACTACAGCAAAGCTGATGTGACTTTTGATTTCAGAAGAACTGAAGCATCTAATTCTGAAGGCTTTTAAGGTATATGCCTTTAAACATCCACAGTGATACTCTTGGTGTTTTTGGTGGTCAGTAGTCATTCAGAATCAAGTTTGGAGAATAACATCAAGGAATTACCAGTTTTGGTCAAACATAAGGTCTCATTAATTTTCTTAAGTGGCTCATACTGAGAATATAGAAAAGAAGTATATAAGTTGATGTAGTCTAGTAGTTTTCCAGGAGAAAGAGACAAACTACTTTTCCCAGTTATATTTTCCAAGAAGATTTCATCTTGATCTTCTCTCACCTTAATGCAAAGGCAGTTTTTACTCATCTGGACACCTCTGTAGTTATCATAAACTTATGTGTGTCTGGGGGGAGAGGCAGATGGTGGTTAAGGACAATGATATTACTTACATACACTAGCAATAAAGAGCCTTAAGCATTCAAAAACTTGAGTCTCATGAGAAGATCAAAGTCATATTCTGAACAACAAAATGCTTAGAAGTTTTTACCTGAGTACCACCTTCTCTGGAAGAACAGAGAAGGTCAGGGTCTACAAAATCAATGAAGGCCCTTCATACCTGGTTCAATTAGGGGACATGGTTGCCATTTATACAAACCTATGGGAGGAAATGCCTTCACAATCCAATGAAGATGGCCAATTACTTATTTTGTTCTAAGTTTAAAAACAACCAAAACCTTACAAAAGTACACAAAAGTGTATAATAAATCTTCATATAGCCAATCATCGGCTTTAACAATAACCAAGTCTTGGTTCATCTTCCATCATATCTACAGATGGTCCTCTATTTATGACGGCTTGACTTATGATTTTTTTTACTTTATGATAGTGCAAAAGCAATATGCTGTAAACCAAAAATACAATTTTAAGACCTCTCTCCCCCCACCAAACATCTGAATGAGGCCCTCCTCTTGGCCAAGGGTATTCCAAAGTTAACCTGAAAAACTAGTTCAGGCCACGATGGGATGTGGGGGTGGGGGCAGGGCATGGGGAATTGGAGGTGCTTCATTATACCCTCCACCCTTTGGAATTCAGGCACCACTGATCAGCATTAACATTAAAATAGAGATCTTAAGATTTTTCGTAGTGATAAGATACCAAGTTTCAGCCTGAATATAGTATAGCATCACATGACAAATATCAGGCCTTGAAAGAAATTGAGGTGTTTTATCCTAAAATATATTTTTTGACATATTTTGAAACGGTCCTGCAAGGCTATCACTTATGGGGAAAATCTACATTCTGTAGAGAACCTTTTTTCAGGTATTTTCACTGATCCAGGAGATAATTTACTGAGAGTCTGACACCTTATTAAGTCAGATAAGAAATATTTACAATCTATGCTCTCTGAAGTCTGCCACCTGGAGGCTTCATCTGCATAATGAGAACCTTGGTCCACTTATTTAACCCAGATACTGCCTTTAGATAAATTCTTTGAACCAATTGCCAACTGGAAGGTCTTTGACTCTAGCTATGACCTGGAAGCATCCCTCACATCCTCCCACCCCTACCCTCTTGTTTCAAGTTTGAGTCATCCTGCCTTTCCAGACTGAACCAATGTACATTTTACATGCATTTATGGATGTCTTACATCTCCTTAAAATGCATAAAACCAAGTTGTATAGCTTGACCACCTTGGGCACACGCTGTCAGGACCTGTACTGACAGGGGCAGTGTCAAGGGCATGTCCTTAACCTTGGCCAAATAAACTTCTAAACTAATTGAGACTTGTCTTAGGGATGGGTTCAGTGGCTTATGCCTGTCGTCCTAGTACTTTGGGAGGCCGAGGCAGGCAGATCGCTTGAGTTCAGGCATTCAAGACCAGCCTGGACAACATGGTAAAACCTCGTGTCTACCAAAAGTACAAAAAGTTTAGCCAGGCATCGTGGTCCATGCCTGTGGTCCCAGCTACTTGGGAGGCTGAGGTGGGAGGATTGCTTGAGCCTGGGAGGTGGAGGTTGCAATGAGCTGAGTTCACACCACTGCACTCCAACCTGGGTGATAGAATGAGACTGTCTCATAAATGTTTTTTTTTTTTTTAAACGAGACTTGTCTCAGATACTTTTTGGTTTACAATGCATTCAGTAGAAACCATACTTTGAGTATGCATACAACTATTTGATTTTTCACTTTCAGTACAATATTCAATAAATTACATGGGTTGTTCAATATTATAAAATAGGCTTTGTGTTAGATGATTTTGCTCAACTATAGGCTAATATATGTGTTCTGAGCATATTTAAGGTAGGTGAGGCTAAGCTAAGCTGTCTGGTAAGTTAGCTGTATTAAGTGTTTTTAACTTACAATATTTTCAACTTAGGATATTTTCAATTTACGATGGAGTTATTGGGACATAACCACATTGTAAGAGGGGAAGTATATGTATTTCCACTCACTTCTTTGACTTTGAAATTAAATCCCAGCCATCATATCAATGCATCTGTAAATATTTCAACATTTATCTCTATAACTTTGTAAACCAAAACAATACCATATGACACCTAAAAAAAAAGATAATCTTTTATACCACCAGTATCCAATCAGTGTTCAAACTTCCAATTTTTTCAAAAGATCTTTTATTTTACAATTTGTTTATTTAAATCAGGAGCTCAAAACTGTACACACACAGTGATTGATAGATAATGTCTTTTTAATAGGTTCCTTTTTTTCCCCTCAGTTTTGTAATTTATTTGTTGAAGAAACAGGTCATTTGGCCTATAACACTTCCCAGAGTCTGGATCTCACTGGCCAGCGATTTTAAATTAAAGCTTTTATGATCAATAAATCACATTTCCTGTCCCTGTGTGCTATCATTTGATCCAACCCCAAAATCCCGTGCAATAAGTTTAGTGTTATTCTCTTCAGACACAAGAAACAAAGATTCCCTCCAGCTACCTCTAGCAGGAAGTTTTCTTGTAAGGATATACAAGGGATGGGATTAAAGGATAAAGGAACCTCAAATGTTGAGTTAACTTCCAAGGATTCCAGGAAAAATCTAAGCATCGCATAAAAAACAGAAACCTCACAAAAGCCCAGCTTTTTGGAAACCAACTATAGTTCAGAGCCATGCAGGATCTGACACAGCCCTGGCATCCAGATTCTCTTTTTGCTCCCTTGGCAGCAGAGACTTGCAAATGTCTTCTCCATTTCAGAGTGCCTGTGTTTCTGCTCCCACACCCACTAGTCTGTGTCTGTTGCGTCTGTGTGCCTCAAGTTCAACAGTCTGAGGGGTTTCTAATTGGTCTAATCAGTCATTATTTCTCAGGGCAGAGCTTTTATGCTGAACTAGTTCACACAATTTACACTTCAAACCATTCATCATCCAACTTACATGTTAGTCACCCTTAATTTGGGTACCCAACACTGGTCTCATCATTTGTGACCCAGGTGATGGGGTCAGAATATGGGTACTTCAGGGGAACCTTATGGCACTGTTGGTCACCAAGGGCTGTGATTGTCACAGACATTCTCAGAGGTAAAAGACTCAAGTTTAAGTATTTGTTTGAAAATATATGTCTAAGAGATTTCAAATACATACACACAATAATTAATTCATGACTAGAGCTAGAAAATTTTATAGTTTATTGAATCATAGCAAGTATATGTGTTTCATCTGTGTTTTCCTTTCAGAACTGTTAAGTTTTAAAATGCAGATGGCTTCAGTTTCTTCTTCTGACACGTAAGAGAGAGAAAACTAGAGCGATTAAGAGACTCAAGGTCATTCATCAGCAGTGGAAGAATCCAGGACTCCAGTTAGTGGGGTCTTCTATTCACACTCACTTCACACCTTAATCTCAGTTTTACATTTCATCTTCTGTTTTCTGAAAACAAAACAGTAAAATGAAAAAAAGAAAAAAAAACTTCAGAAACACGAGTTCTTAAATTCTCTATTAAAGTCTTCCTCTCTTAGCTTTAGTTCAGTTAATGTCAGGAGGTCATGGCCCTGGACTTGACTCATTTTTAGCCCTGTTCTCTGCTCTCCATCTATACTACTGCAGATCTTCTTGAACAATCACGATCAAGTCTGGGTAACATAGCGAGATCCCAGTTTTACAAAACATTAAAAAATTAGCTGGGCATGGGGGCATGTACCTGTAATCCTAGCTACTCAAGAGGCTGAGGCAGGAGGATCACTTGAGCCCAGGAGTTTGAGGTTGCAGTGAGCTATGATCACGCCACTGCATTCCACCCTGGGCAACAGAGTGAGGCCCTGTCTCTGAAAAAAACAAAAACAAACAAAACAAAAACCATAAACAAAAAAGCCAATCTTGATTATGTGTGTCACTGGACACATGGCATATCTGGCAAATCTGCCTCCATTATGGAAAACCACAGCAAAACATCTTCATACAGGTAGGTGGGGTGGTTATATCATTGTGAATCAAAGACAGTTTAACCAAGAGAAGGACACTGAAGATGCCTTTATTCTTTTCTCTTTGCCAATTCACTATGCCAAAACTTAAAAGGGTTATAAGTTCACATGATGCCAAACTGAATGACAAAATTTAATAATTCTTCTTATTAAACTAAAATTTTAACTCCTAACAGGCACACATATAACTTATATGCTTAATTATTATTCTCCCCTCATAGAACTTGTTTTCCTTACACAGTTGCTAAGATCTTATTCCCTCTGGAAAAAAAGACCATGGCATTTAACCCCTTTCCCAATCCAGGTGCTAACTATACTTATTTTTCATTTTATTTATTTATTTGTTTTAGCTGAGTTGTTCATATGCCAAATTCCTGGAAAAGGAGAAAAAGCACATTGTTTTTCAAACCTAATAAGTAATTTAATTAAAACTCATCTCATCGGGCCTCAAAATTGAACCACTTTTTAGCAGAAAAACAGCCTGGATCAAAGCCCATTTTGCAAAGACGAACTGGAGGAAGTTGAGCAGCCTGTAATGTAGGAAAACTCACATTGATGCCAGACTGAATCGGGTACATTATCCAATTCATAAAATTCCAACCAATGATTTTAACCTTATCTTGCTAATTTTTCTCCACAACAATGTTTAAAGAGACTCTGCCTGGAAAAATAAATGGAGCTAAAAGGATGACAAAGCACTCTTGACAGCACATGGCACATTCTGATTTAGACCAAACTGCTTTTGGGAAACTACTGAAAGTTACAAATAGTGACCATTTAAAAAGACAAATTAAAGACTCTAAAAGGAGTAATGTTATCCTAGTCAGACAGTAGATTTTAACGTGTGTGTGTGTGTTGAAGATCTAGTTCTCTGTATTTTTCAGTGGTTTAAATCTTAGAGCATTAATGACAACAGCTAGGTACAGGCAGTGTTTATCCTAAACTCAGACATGCTAAAAGAAAGAAAGATTAATCTGATAAAGGCATCACTATTTCTAATCGGACTGATGGGAAAATGTAGTATTGGGTGTAAAAGGCAATGTCGGGTGAATTATAGTGAAGTGATGAACTACCTTGAAGCTGAAGCAATCAAATAGATAGCTCTAAAAATTACTATGGCATCTTTATTCAACAGTTTGGTGCAAGTGTCCCCATCTTGGCCTTTTTTTTTTTTTTTTTTTTTTTTTTTACAAAGAGCAGAAGCACTTTGTTGTATTTGGTGAAATTAAATCTTAATAGGAGAGCCTCAGCTAAGGCTGCTGCCCTTCACTTACCAAAATTAAACACTAGACATTCATTTCCTATCAAAGAAAAGGAGATGACGTTTTTATAATATTGTCAATTCACAAAATTGTTAAAAATCCAAAAGAAGAGTTAGCAAACATTAAAAAAAAATCCATTAACATATTTGTGTCTTTGCATTGCACATTCTTTTTAATTAGAAATAATGTACACCATTTGTTACTCATCTTTGTCTTTCTGTATAAATAATTTAGCAAGTAATTATTTCATCTTCAAGAAAAAAAGATAATTGCCTCTAAATTATTATGATTAAATAGAATAAAGTCAAGATGTTTTTGTAATTGGTGGAGTAGATCAAACAGTCCCTACTGGAGTGTTTTGTTTTAATACTTGGCTTTCATCTGGTTGCATTAAAACATCAAAAAATAGAAATAAAAAGAAGTATCCCACAAAAAGTACTCATAATCTCACCACCCAGAGATAACCACCATTAACATTTTTGCAACATACAAATGTATACATAGACATACTAAATATAAGTGTGTGCAAGTGTGTTTTTATACATATACACATGTATATATGTATGTATACACACAGACATATATATATATTTAAGTGAAATAAGACTACACAGCATATTTTGAATCCAGCCTTCTTTTCCTAGAAATATATTGTAGGCTTTTTTTTTTAATCAATGGGTAAAGATTTATAACATTTTACTGTCTGCATAGTACTGCCTTATATGTGTTTTATTATTTAGCTAACTTACATGTTAATGAGTGTTCAAGTTATTTTCAATCTTTCATCATCATAAACAGAATTGATATATCTTTGAGTTCAAAGCTGAAGTTACACACAAATATGAGACATTTTATTTACATTACTTCATACTCTGGCTCTCAAATACCAGATAAATGCTCCAATGGGTAATGATACTTTATAAACCTTTGAAACGGCAATTCCAATTGGTCTTATATATACATTTTCTATTAGCTCAGAATATTTCATATTTCCCCTCATGTATTCCTTCAGAGTAGCTAAAAGGTAAGACATTAGTATCTGCATTTAACATATTAACTTCCAAGTTGAAGCACTCAGTGGGTAGAGAGGAAAGAATAACATAAAATTGAAGGAACGTTGCCTTGAATCTACCCTGTGCTCTTTCTAACAGCCTGGTGCTTTCTCCTGGCTTCTTGGTCTGAGAGGATAGCTGGGAGATTCTGACTAGCGTGATTTCTCATTTCTGCCCCTTTCCTTCAATTGCAGTGATCTTTGCTGTCTTCACCCTGTACATTCTTTAAATTTGGCCGAAAATGTCACAATACCTCCTATTAGACACACTTCAATTGTAACCACTGCTCTATTCTAAAATGCCTTACAAATTGAATACAGTATTCATTGAGAGCTTATTTTTTGTTCTTGAGTTTTATATGGTTATCTTTGTTCTTATATATCTTCTAAACATTGATAATCAGAATTCTGTATTTATTTCTTTGGTATTGTAAGATACTTCATACTTCAAATAATGTACATTATTCAGTATAATACTTGAAATGATACTGTATCATCACAGCACTGAGAAGTATTTTGGCTTTGGGGCACCAACAGTATTTTTTCACTGTATTGTGTAAAACTATTTATTGTATTAGTTAAAGATAAAGGGTATTTAAGGGCCAGGCATGGTGGCTCATGCCTGTAATCTGGCACTTTGGGAGGCCAAGGAGGGCAGATCACTTGAGGCCAGGAGTTCGAGACCAGCCTGGCCAACGTGGTGAAAATACATAAATTAGTATTTTCTACTAAAAATACATAAATTAGTCAGGTGTGGTGGCACTGCCTGTAGTCCCAGACACTACGGAGGCTGAGGCAGGAGAATCACTTGAACCCGGGAGGCGGAGGTTGCAGTGAGACAAGATCATGCCACTGCACTCTAGCCTGCGTGACAGAGCAAGACTCTGTCTCAAAAAAAAAAAAAAAAAAAAAGAGTATTTTAGATTTTTAATGTTCTATTTCTTAGTGTATTTTTGGCTCACTTTGGAGAAGATATCTGAAAAGTAAAATTCATTATCTTTTAAATGTTGAAAACCATTACACTAGAATGAAAGAAATTTATGGAGTCTTATTACATATAAATATTATTATAGCATGGTTTTTAAAATGCTTGATAGTTAAGTCAACCCCATTTGATTTTTAAGTGTTATTTAATATACTTTTCGAAGTACTTCTTAGCAAAAAGTCATACCTTTATACAATCTGTCCAGCTTTTGAATATAATTTTCCATACTTCGAGAAAAGCTCAAATGATGGTAATACAGTCTGGAAATCCTAGGAGGAAAAAGTTCAAAGATTACCACAGAGATCGTAATGATTTTATGTTATTGTCATTATTGTTATTATTTAGATTAAATTGTTAGACAGACGTCTTTCAACTGCACTTCAAATTTCCTACTATACTCTCAAAACAAAATTAGCAGGTAAATTTTTGAAGTTTTATCAGTTGAAAATCAGGCATACTGAATTTCCTGGCACATAGTCTTTAACAGTATGGATGTCACCTGCAAGCAAGTCTGGGCAATGCAAACATCAGGCATATCCACCTGTCTTCAAGGAGTCACAATCTAAATTTTTTACCTTGGCTTCATAGGGGTTGGTACTTTGTTTGGTGCACAATAAATATTTGTTAACTGTATTGAGTGGAAATGGAAAGGTGATACACTCAAATCACTATCATAGACGGCAGACTATGTTCATTACCCCAGAAGTGATTCAAATGAATGGTAAGGGAGTTCAGAAGGAAGAGGAAAGAAATCATTTTTTGTTGTGTAACTGGAGAAGCAGCATTTGATTGAGATGCTTGATTGAATTTGATTGAAATGGATGCTTTTCATGCATGTTAAAACAGGAAAAGTCATTAAAAAGGTAAGATAACTAAATCAACAACCAATGCTCTAAACGAATGATCAGACTATATAAAGGTGTATGTTTCTTCTTGGAAAGGAGGTCTATTGTTAATAAAGGTAATTTTGGCTGAGTTTTTTTTTCTTAAGAAAACGTAAGAGAAAAAGACCTATGTCCTGAGTCCAACTCTTTAGAGGGCCCATATATAACAAACACATGCAAAAATAAATGTGCTAAAGAACATGTGGACATGAGGGTGTCTCTGTCACTAGAGATCTTGTTCTCCACTCTGGTACAACAAAGCCTCTAGCCCTAAATACCTGCTTTTACAACTAAGGGTTTTTCAAGCCCCAGGGAAAAGCTCCACATCTGTTGCTCTGTGTTTGTCATGCCCAAGTGACATGAAGGATGGTGGGTTGTGACAGACACTGCTTTTAAGTGCAAAGAGAATTTGAGTGATAAAAATGCTTAATAAAAGGCAAATTAATTAATATGAATGAAATCTTTCTTGGATAGCATAAATGCAATAAAATTTTACATAATGAAGTATCATTTTCCATTGGTGCTGAGCATCTATATTCTTGCCTTCTTTTCATTATAAATTACAATTCTGGAGATAATCAGAAATCAACACAGTATTTGCAACAATGCACATGATAACTTTACTTTTTTCAATAGTAAATTATTCATATCCCTCTTAAATTTGAGCATATAGAGTTTAGACATCTGCATGAAGCATCAGTGATTTTTTACGTTGGCAACTTGATGAACACTGAAACCCAGAACTGTGAATAGCTTTATTTTTATAAATCTATATGTATAATAATATTTCATTTAATTTTCAAAAAAGTAGACCTGCCTTACAATAAATGTTAAAAGAAGTTTTCAGTGAGAGGCAAATGATATAGATTAGAAATTCAGCTCTACATGAAGAAATAAAGAGAAAGAATAAATGAAGAAAAAATAATACCTTTTATTTTTCTTATTATTAGTTGACCTAAAAGATAACAGCCTTTGTTCTAAATAATAATAACAACATTGTCATTCATGATTATTGCTTGTGGATAAGGGAAATGAATGACAGCAATGTTATAAGAAATGGGAGGAAGGAATTGGGAATAATCTGTTATAAGGTAACTGCACTGCCCGTGAAGCAGTATAGTGTTATTTGAAAGTGGGCTGGGATTACTCATAAATGTATACTTCAAACTCTAGAACAATCACTACAGAAAAATTTTGATATGCTAAGAGTGAAAGAAAATTAAATCATATTAAATGTTTAACTAAAACTAGAGAAGACTAGGAGTGGAAGACAAAAGCAAAACAAATAAGAAAGGGAAGATCAAGTTACAAATATGGTAGGTATTGATCCAACTATATTAATAATCACTTTAAATGTGAATAGTTTAAATGCACCAGTAAAAGAACAAGATGGGATAAAAAAAGAAGAACCAACTATATGTTGTCTACATGAAACTCGCTTTAAATGTGAAAACACAGAGTAAAAGTAGAGATGCAGAAAGTTATACCATGCTAACATTAATCAAAATATAGCTGGAATAGTTATATTAATTTCAGACAAAATAGATTTCAGAATAAGGAAAATTACTAGGGATAAAGAGGGGCATTACATAGTAATAAAGTGCCTAGCAATAGTGTGTGAAAATCTGAGGCAAAAATTGATAGAGCTGCAAAGAGAAACAGATGAATTCATTATTGTAGTTGGAGACTTCAACACCCCTTTGTCCATAAATGGCAGATCCAGCAGGCAGAATATAATTGAAGAGTACTACCATACAACTGTATAGAACTGACATCTATAGACAGCTTAATCCAACAACAGCAGAATACACATTCTTATAGAGTTCACACTGAACTTTCACCAAGATAGACCACATCCTGGGCCAGAAAACACACCTTAACAAATTTAAAAGAATAGAAATCATACAACGTCTGCTCTCAGACCACAATGGAATTAAATTATAAATCTGTAAGAGAAAGATTGCTGGAAAATCTCAAAATATTTAGCGATTAAACAACGCACTTCTAAATAACACATGGGTCAAAGGAAAAGTCTCAAGGGAAATACAAAATATTTTTAACAAAATAAAAATGAAAATACAACCCATCAAATTTGTGAGATGCAGCAAAAGCAATGCCTAGAGGAAAATGGATAGCACTAAATGCATATACTAGAAAAGAAGAAAAATCTAAAGTCAATAATCTAAGCTTCCACTTAGAAAACTATATTAAAAAGAGCAAATTAATTACAAAGTAAGCAGAAGCAAAGAAATAATAAAATCAGAGCAGAAATCAATAAAATCAAAAACAGGAAAACAATAGAGAAACTCAACAAAATCAAAAGTCTGCTCTTGCAATCATCAACACAACTGATGAACTCCTAACCAGGTGAACTAAGACAGAAGAGAGAAGACACAAATTACTAATATCAGGACTGAAAAATGGGGCATCATTTCTAATCCCATGAGTGTTAAAATGATAAATATTGTGGCCAGACACAGTGACTCATGCCTATAATCCAGTACTTCAGAAGGCCAAGACGGGAGGGTTGCTTTAGCTCAGGAGTTCGAGACCAGCCTAGGCCACATAGTGAGACTCCATCTCCCGAAAAGTTTAAAAATTGGCTAGGTATTTTGGTGTACACCTATAGTCCCAGCTACTCAGGAGGCTGAGGTGGGAGGATTGCTTGAGTCTGGGAGTTTGAGGTTGCAGTGAGCCATGGTTGTGCCACTGCACTCCAGGATAGGTGACAGAGTTCCTCATAATATTCCTTTGTATACATACATAGCAAGACCCCCTTCTCATAAAAAATAATAAAATAAGATTATATACCTATAGGAATAAATTATATATATATAGAAAATTACATATATAGAGAGGAATAAATGAATACATATAGAAAATTATACATAGAGAATTTTTATATGTAACCATTACATATATAATTTATATACATAATATATAAAATTTTATATAATATATATTTTATATATCAAAATTTAATGTTATATAAAATTTAAAATAAATTATATCATATAAAAGTTTATATATTATATACAAATTATATGCTTTAATTATATATAAATTTATGTATAATATAAAACTTTCTATATAATTTTCTATATATATAAATTTATACATATATAATTTTATTTTACTATTTTTTTAAGAGAAGGTGTCTTGCTATGTTGCCCAGGCTGGCCTTGAACTCCTGGGCTCAAGGGATTCTCCCACCTCAGCCTCCTAAGTAGCTGGGACTACAGTTGTGTGCCACCATTCCCAGCTTTATTTTAAAAAACTGAATCAATAATAAATAAGCTTCCCAAAAGGACAGGATGGTTTCACTGGTGAATTATACCAAATAAGAAAGAAATTATATCTATTCTCTATAATTTGTTCTAGAAAATAGAAGCATAGGAAACACTTTCAACTCATTCTGTTTTGTAATCTGTAAAATGGGGATATCTACCTCACAGGATTGTTGTTTAATCACAGGATTGTGATTAAACAAGACAAACTATCTGGCTCTTCACATAAGTATTTTCCTCTCTTATTCCTTAAATAATAGAAGTCTATTCATATTATACCTACCATGTTCTTTCAAAAATTAAGTAAATTCCATCAGCACTTATAGGAGACTAATTTTGGGGCAATAATGTGGTGAAACAGGAGTTTGATGATACCATCCCATCAGTAAAACTATTTTCAGTAAGAGTATTCAATAGATGTCTATTCATTCGTGTTAAATTATCCATGTGTAATATCGTGGGAATATAATATAATGTGAAATATATATACAAATGAGAGAAAAATAAATATAAATAGAAGTTCTAATATTTTTTCCTTCATTTCTGTGAATCTTCTTGTGTACTTAATTTTGGACTCATCTGATCTAATGAAGCATCGCTTAATTCTGAGTTAGACCTTCTTTTGTGTATTTAAGTAACATTTTGGTGTCTGCAACGTGTCTGACACTGTGTTAGCTTCCAACCAATGGTAACCAAAACTTGGTCTTATCTAGTGTCAGATAATAGTGCAGATAAACAAGGACTGACCCCTTCAAGTACCTACCTTCTATGTCCTCCAAAACAAAATCTTTCAGAAACTCTTTATTGCTCTTATTTTTAAATCTAAAATCTCACATTCTTACATAGCTCTAATCAACCAATAACTGTGACCTCTGGTACAGGAAGAGGTGAAGATACCATCAGGAGAGCTTTGGTTTTGGGAGAAATCTGGTGCTGATTCGCATTTGTTTAAAATTTGCCTCTGATACGATAAAACATGTCATCCAGTCATGGGAAACTATGAGCTCAAGAAAACCACCTGCACACTTGCACAGTGTCACTTTTTAAATGGGGGTTGGGGAACTGCTTTTCTGAAAAATAACCTCATCAAGAAAAAAC